CATGGTTCAGAGAAGAAAGCGACAAGGAGGAGAGATGGACACAAGGGATGTGACTATGATATCCAGCTGGGCATTCCATAAAGACCTCTGCTAAATTGTGGTTAAGGTGTAAACTCCAATTTCCAGAAAGCCTCAAGGATGAGTGGGTATGTTTATTTCTTCCCATTCATTTATTCACTCACTCTTTTACCCCAGTGGTTTTTGGCATGTCCACAAAGTTGTGCAACTATCAACTATCTAATTCCAGAATATTTTCATCACCCAAAAAGAAACTGACACCCATTAGCCATCATTCCCATTCCCATTCATTCGTTTCTAAGGCCGGGCTATGGTAACTCTGGAAGTTCAACAGCAGAGAACACATTAAAGAATACGACTTTAGAGAAACAAGATGCTGGAGAAGGGAAGTTCAATTTCCTGTAGGATCTGCTGGGAGCCTGAATCAACGAAAAGCTGAATAAAGGTCAAAGCTTGTCAGGCTGACAATTTTCCCTCAGAGACTAAGGCAAAGCCACAATGCTTGATTAGCTGAAGAGAATGGGTAGCTGTTACTCCAAACCCAGTTCTGCCCAATAAGGAGGAACTGGCAAGGAGAGAGCCAGCAGGCCCTGACAGCCGGGGAGACAAAGTCTGGATACAGGCAGCTATGTACTTCAGACTTCATAAGAGCAGAAGTGACTCCATGACATGAGGGATGGACTAATACATCATAACCCGCTGGACACCAAAGAATATTTAGGATGCTAAGTTGAGAATTTATGACTCAGAAGACACATGATAACTGTTATCTAGTAACTGACAGGTGGTCACATGAGACACTAGATTTATTCTATGGGGTCCCAAGAGGCATAAGTGGGACTAATGAGTGGAAAACTATAGGAAGAGAGCAGTGTTTCAGATCATTACAGGGAAAGATTTCCTAACAGTCAAGCAATCTTAAGGCAGAATGAATTGCCTTTAAGGTAGAAAGTTCAAATGCAATCTGGACACTCAATAAGTGAATGCAGTGGAGGTAATTCAAAAACCAGAGTGTGATCTGACAACTGTGGCACTCCCACACTTGAGGGGTGAGGTCAGCTGTGAGGTATGCTGCAAGTGATCTGTTATGATAATAAAACACTGAGATCTAATGTAGATGATGGGGTGATGGATAGAGCCAACCATCATGGCACGTGTACACCTATGTAACAAACCTGCACGTTTTGCACATGTACCTCAGAACTTAAAGAATAATTTTAAAAAAAAACTGAGGCATATGATTTACTGTCTCTAGATTCTGGGTTATCACTATAACACCACTCCTATTCACTTACATTATTAAATATTTTCTTGAACGAAGGTGAAAAACTCCACATTGCTGGATAATGCTCATGGGAGTGTTCTCCTGAAGTGTGCTTTTAGGCTAAGAAAAGTGGAGAATTACCAGGTTGGATGACTAGTAGAATCCCTTCCAAGCTGAGATTTCATGAAGATAGGTGGCACCCCCTCCTCAGCCTTCAAATGAATTATGATCTACTGGTAGACAGGTGGTCGCTGTGATTTGATGAATTGATCATTGGAGTGTCTCATCTGATAGACACTGGTAACAAGTCCTGGGAGTACATCTGAACTCTACCAAAAGGGAAAGTGAGGACTAGATATGTTATATTTGTCTGCTTTTCACAGAATGGTCATTCAAATAATTTTAATGAGACCACAGGAAAGTTAAACTTTACAGTTTCTTTAAAAAAAAAAAAAAAAAACTACAAATAATATAAATAGTCCTAGAAAACACTATTTGTTTTTTGAAACATTAAACATTTTTCCCCCTAAGCAAGAATTGACCTAAACTGGTAACTACCTCAACCTGAACTTAGCCAACCTCACCCCAATCCAAATTGGAATTGCCTTTCCCTTTTCAATTCCTTGGATGAATGGTCCTGGCAGAAACTGCTGTCACAAAGGCCAACTGTAGAAGTGCCACCATAAAACTGCTTGACTGACCAACTCAGGCCTTTTCAGAGTCTTCCCTGACTCCTTTTCCATGTCCTTTTTCTGCTGTTCCACCAAACTACTTTGGAATGCAGGAAAAACGAAGCAGATGGGAGGTATCTGATCACCTGGTGCAGTAGGCTACTGAACAGCCTGTGATTTCTGGCACCTCATATTTTTTTATTACAAAATTTTTTTCATTATAAAACTATTATTGCCACATTATAAAAATTTGGAAATTACAGAAAGAAAAAAAATCACTTATGATCCTATCATTGTAATAAAATCACTGCATTTTGGTGCATTGCTTCCTTTCCTCCAGGGTTCTTTGTATATAGTTCCATGGGCTGCATCCATTTAGCTTATTTACACATCCCTCAGCTCCTCTACAAAGAATCTGCAGTAACTAACATAAATATCATCAGACAGACAACTCCATGCCCACATACTCTCTCCCAAACCAGCCTGTGCTTCTGATTCCCATTTCTAACTTACGAGTTCTAACTCCTGGTCATCCAGGTTGAAACCCTGGCACCATCCTGGACTCCTCTCCCTCAACCTCACCATCCATTTCCACAGATTCTTCTGTCATTATCACTTTCTCACTTCTTTCCTTCCCACCCCAATCCCCCCACTGATTTCGCTACCATCTAGTCCAGGTCCATAATTACTGCAATGCTTCTCTGACTCATCTCCTGGCCTCTACCTTCTCTCCTTTTCCTTGCAGTGCGAAATTCTTTTCCTCTTTTTGAATGCTCTCTTGCTGAATGACATCTGCTTGGCTTTCCATTGTCTTAACGAACAAAAAACATTATTTGGTCTGAAAATTTGTCCCCAGTCTATCTTTCCCACCATATCTTTGTCCACTTCCTCTACGAAACCTCTGCTGATACCCTTGTACCCTAGATATAAAACCGCAGTGTATGCAGTGAATGGGGCAGGATATGTGCCTGCTCCCTGGAGTCCCTGCAAGGTGCAGCGTTCCAGGCCAGCTGAGACAGAGGAACAGGTAGTAGATGTATCCTTCTGCTATTATCAACTATGAAACTGGACAAAATAAATGAAGCAATCATGTCCAAGCATTACATAAACAGCAGAGCTGTGAACCTAGAGGGAAGGGAAATATGAGGAATGAGGTCCAAGTTCACCCGGCTTTCAGCCTAGGGGCACTTTTCATACTGTGGCTCGGGGAAGTGGCATGTGCCGGGCAGGTATGCCTAAGCCTCTGCATGCAGAGGAGACTGCTAAGAATGTAAGAAATCAAGCCAGTACTTGCTTTTTAAAGTAGGCTGCTTCAATTCTGGATTTTAAAAAGATATAATTTCTCTACAATTTCCAGGGGACCTTTTCTTTTGTTATGCTTTATCTTTCTTTCAGTTTTCTTTAGTTGAAAATATTGAGGCTGGGCACAGTGGCCCATGCTCTGGGGAGCCAAGGCAGGAAGATTGCTTGAGCTTGGGAGTTCAAGGCTGCAGTGAGCCACTGCATTCCAGCCTGGGCAACAGGATAAGACCCTGCCTCTAAAAATCAATCAATTAATTAATGAATTTTTAAAAAGAAAAGAAACTATTGAGCAATCTTGCCCATAGTTTCAAGGAAGACAAAAACAGTTTTAGGCAATGATGCCTTCTATCTACTAAGCTTCACTATCTATTATAGTAGAGAAGAGTTTACATACTGAACCTATGGAGTTCTGTGTCATGGGGAGATATTAATATCTTTGCAATGTTTTAAAAGACTAGGTCACTGGGCCATCAACACTTGGTGGCAGACTGAAACTGCAAGGCTGGATATCCTCTTTGGGAAAATGTCAAAGGCCATGTTAGTGCCAAGGTCATCTCTGAGAATGACTGAAGCCAAAGCAGTCACCCAGAAGCCATCCTAGAGAGTGGCAAGAAGTAGGTAAATACTAGAGGCAGCACATCTGGGCATTAGAAAAGGGATTGGGGTGCTGGGCATGGCAGTTGACGCCTGTGATTCCAGCACTTTGGGAAGCTGAGGTAGATGGATCACTGGAGCCCAGGAGTTCAAGACCAGCCTGGGCAACATGGTGAAACCCCATCTCTACCATAAATACAAGATATTAGCCAGGCTTGGTGGCGCACACCTGTAGTCTCAGATACTTGAGAGGCTGAGGCGAGAGGATCACCTGAGCTTCAGAGACTGAAACTGCACTGAGTCAGGATCATGTCACTATACTCCAGCCTGGGCAACAGAGTGAGACAAGAAAGAAAGAAAAGAAAGAAAGGAAAGAAGGAAAGGAAAAGAAAGAGAGGGAAGGGGAGGGGAGTGGAGGGGAGGGGAGAGGACGGGACCGGAGGGGAGGGGATTGGGAGGATTCACTTTTCTCATATTCTATACATTTTTCCTTTGAGACTCAATTATTGCATTCCCTTCCTCCAACTGTAATTTCCAAAGACAACTGGCCTCAATCCCACTTTTACCTGCTCAGCAACATCCCAAAAGAATGTTTAAAGAGCCCTTACAGTTTGCCTTTTTCAACCTCCTGGATAGATGAAAACCTACCGGGAGCAGCCCAAACTTCTCCAGCTCAGCCCTGGAAAGGCATTTCTCAGGGAAGGTGTTCCTGCTGCCCACCAGGGAGCATGCCTTTGAAGAGTACCCCTTTGATAACCTTATTTGGTGTTAAATTCAGGTAAAGAACCCTATGTCTCTCCCAAGCAGAGCCCTTAGGAGCTTTCTTTCTGTGATACCTTATGCCAACACTAGAACTATCTGAAGGGCCAAGGCTTGAAATTCATTCTTTTGCACTCACTGTTGCCCCTTCTGAGGCCCAAGAAGAGTCTAGTGAGAGAACATTTCTCATTCTCACACTCGCCAATGTCAGCACAGGAACACAATCTTAAGGTCACGTAGTTGTAAAGGCTCAGAGGCCTATGGCAAGTTCAGGCATAAAGCAAACCTAGCTTTGCACAGGATGTGGCCTAGGGAGCACAGGGCAGCCAGGCAAACCACATAGGCATGCAAACTGTCTGCTACCCAGAATGCTATAGAAATCTCCATCCTACCATCAGCGAGTGGCTTGCAGGAGAGGGCGTCATCAAGGTCTCGGGCAGTTGATGGGTCAATGGTGAAGATACAGTCTTTTCTAGGAAAGAGAGAAGAAATAATTAGCAGGGCCACAAATAACAACTTCACCCCACATAGTACAGCTTTAAAGAACAGCAAATTTTGCATATATGCTCTGTTAGTGAAAGTGAAAAGTAACTTCTATTAAGTCTCTGAGAACGAGATCTTAGCTATAAATGTTAAGACTGGGAAGAGACAAATGGGTGAGTGACTTTCTCTTCCTCTGTGTGAAATGGCACCTACTTCTCCTTCACCCCAAGCCATAAGAGATGTGGGTGGGTGAGAATGAGGCTGCTTCCATGAATGAGGCTTCTCAAGAAGAGTTAGACAACAAGAAGGGCAAGTTACTTTGGTAAATTAATCTTCAATTTACACTTTGTTAAAATATCCTTCCCCAGTGGCTGATGGGAAGCTATCCTTTAAGGATCTCTATGAAGATAATTTACTGCTCCTTCTCCTATGTTGAAAAAATGGGAATACGGCAAAGAATAAGTCATCTGACTTGTGATACAGGGGGATGAGACCCAACAATGAGCTTCTAAAAAAAACTCTGGGCTGTGGAGTTAAACATAATATAAGTTTACCTGGAAACAGCCCAAATCACAGTTTGTTTCCACAGAATAACTGTGTACTTCAACCAAGCTCATACCAAGTATACCATGTGCCCATTTCATCTTTGTCAGTATCCTTACAAACATCACACTCTTAACATGTGAAACTCCCAGACATTTTTATTCTGTTTTATAGTTTCGCATGCCCAGCTCAACCCACCCATTCCCATGTAAACAACTAAAGATTTTGGCAGTGGCTGTCCTTGGTTCTCCATACTTCCGGCCTTCCCTGCCTGGGTACTGCCTGGAGATTGGGGTATTCAGCAGCAACTGCCCTTCTACCCTCATGCCATACTCTCTAGTCAGTGCTCACTGCTTCCTAAGTTCTTCCTCCACTCCATCCAGTACTAGCGGTGCACTGCCACCATTTCTTTGTCTTTTCCTGATTCATCAACACCAATGATGTTGGCCATGCTGGTGCTAACCATGGTAAGACAGGCTTTGTTCGTGAAGACTTCTTCCCTGGTGTTGTCCCTCTGTTCAAAACTTCCTTGGCATTGGTGAGCTTCGATTGGGCCACTGTACTCCAGCCTGGGCAACAGAGCGAGACCCTGTCTTCAGAGGCTGCCAAGCTGCTTTAGCACTGGCCTGCCACAAGCTCTTGGGGCCTTTCTCTATCTGACTCTTAACTGTCCACTTTCCCTACTCCTAATTATTCGCAACAGCCCTCTCTAATCCTAACCACAATACTTTGATCCTAAGACAGTATTAATTATATGATGCATCATCAATTCTCTAACAGCTTTTGGAGAAATAAAAACCCCACCACATTAAATATATACATTAATTTTAAGACACTTCAGAATTTCAGAATGTCAAATGTTGGTCTCAAACTCCTGGCTTCAAGTGATCCTCTCAACTTGGTCTCCCAAAGTGCTGGGATTACAGGTGTGAGCTCCATGCCCAGCCCAAAAAGTAATCTTTAATGGTAAATGGATAACCAAACTGTGGTACACCCCCATAATGGAACAGTACTTAGCAACAAAAAGTAACAAATTATTCATAAATGCAACAGCCTGAATGAATCTCAAAGGTATTAGACTGAGTGAAAGAGTCACTCTCAAAAAGAAAACAAAGCACTTTGGGAGCCCAAGGTGGGCGAACAACCTGAGGTCAGGAGTTCAAAACCAGACTTGACAACATGGTGAAACCCCGTTTCTACTAAAAATGCAAAAATTAGCTGGGCATGGTGGCACCTGCCTGTAGTCCCAGCTACTAAGGAAACTGAGGCAGGAGAATTGTTTGAACCCGGGAGGCAGTGAGCCAAGATTGTGCCACTATGTTCCAGCCTGGGCAACAGAGTGAGACTTGGTCTTGGTCTCAAAAAAAAAAAGAAAAGAAAACAGACATAAGACAGAAAGCAGATCAGTGGTTGCCAGGGATAGGAAAGGTATGCTTGTGTGGGACAGCAGGACGAGTGGAACTAAATCCATACATGTCTTAAAATTCACAGAATTTTACATACAGCAAATAAAGGTTAATTTTATTGTTTAGTCTAAAAAAATTAATGTGATTTTTCAAATCAAGAAAAGTAAAAAATATATGTTAAATATTCATAGGGTTGATTGATGGGTGCTAGATTTATGGATTAATTTTTCTGCCTTTAATGTGTACTTTTTCATATTTTAAAAAATTTTCACTGCAATTGAATATTACTCTTGCAAATGGAAAAAATAAACACGGTAGAGAATCTTCCTCAATCAAAAAACAATTGATCAGATATATATTATTGCTTGTACATGTATTTAGCTATCTGTAACACTTGTTACAAGATGCATTTGGCTTAATAGAGTTAATGGCTTTAAGATTATAAATCTGGTAAAAAACTATGTCTCCACTGGACGCTAAGAAAATAGGGCCAAGGAGGGTGAGTACCACTCAGGTAGAGGGAACAAGAACATTTAGAGTACAGACCCCAGAAAGGGTGGTTAATCAGGAGACCCACTCTCCCACTAAATATTTCGAGGAAGAGTCACACACAGTGTGGGAAACATGAAGGTTGAAGCCTCACGATATGTAGAAATAATTTTGGTTCCACTATATAAAAGAGGTTGTAAGCAAGAGTGCCAGAGGAGAAGAGAAACACTGATCTCCTGGAATGCATGCTCCAAGGGCTGTGTTCCCAGAGCCTTGAACAGAGGCTGCATCTCAGATGTGTTTGTTGAATGAACAGATGGATGGTAACAGGAAGCGCCCAGGAGGTGAAATCAGACCTGGCACCACAGCAATGTGCTGTAATTGATGAAGATCTTGAACTTGGCTCACAAGGAAAAGAAGGAAGTATCTACTTCTTTCTCCTTTTGATATCTCCCATAAAACCTACCCAAATGTTTTATATACACTGAGTACTCAATAAAAAATACTTGTATAACTGCAGCTAAAAAGTCAGACATGGTAGTAGGAATGTTTGCTGCTGCTTCTTTCATCATAATGACATCATAAAAAGCCAAAAATTGTTCCCCTGGCCAAAATAAAAAAGAACTCCACCAGCTTGGTTGGGGGTAGAAGCTATAGTTTACTAGGTTACTTGGAGAGTTGACTAGGAAGTTTTCTTTTCTTAAACTGTCTCTGGGTGCTTTGAGACTTTCATTTCTACAGATACAGTGAATAAATGATAATGCCACTAAGACATTTCCAGCTTGAAGTTGATCCAACCATACGTGACTGAGTAAGACTTTGTTAGTTTGTAAATGTCTTCTTTGAGAGAGGACTCACAACTGCTTTCTATGGAAAATCCTAGACTAGCCTACATGTAAGGACTCAAACCAACTTTCTGTTACCTTTAAAAATTTTTAATCTGCTGGTAAACCAGAAACATGAAAGTCTAAATCAAAATGGAACCTGATGAACAGCACTCAGGAAGGCTTGCTTGCTGGAAGGGTAAGCCACCGAAACATTACTCCTGATCAGGAGTCCGCAAACCATATCACACTGGCCAAATCTGGCCTGCCACCTGCTTGTGAATGATGTGTAAGATGAGAAGTTTTTGCATTTTTAAATGACTGAAAAATAAAAAGTTGGCAGGCGCAGTGGCTCACACCTGTAATCTCAGCACTTTGGGAGACTGAGGTTGGGGGATCACGAGGTCAAAAGATCAAGACCATCCTGGCCAACACGGTGAAACCCCCATCTCTGCTAAAAATATAAAAATTAGCTGAGCATGGTGGGATGTGCCTGTAGTTCCAGCCACTTGGGAGGCTGAGGCAGAAGAATAGCTTGAACCTGGGAGGTGGAGGCTGCAGTGAGCCAAGATCACGCCACTGCATTCCAGCCAGGCAACAGAGAGAGACTCTGTCTCAAAAATAAATAAATAAATAAAAAGTCAAAAGAAGAATACCATTTTGTGACATAAAAAATGACTGTGGAAATTCAAATTGCACCCAAAATATTTACTATGTGACCCTTCCCAGGAAGTTTGCTGACCCGTTTTAGCTCAATATGTCTGAAAGTGCCAATTAAGTGTTTTAATCTTTTAAAAAAAGGTCTTGTGATTAAATCAGTTTAGGAAATACTGGGCTGATTTCTTAATTGTAGGACTTCGAGGAGCCTTTAATAGGCCAGTATCAACAGTTCTTGCCTGATTCGTTTGCTCCCAGCACCTCTTTGTGGGACAGCATCTCCCAGAACCAAGGTTCCTCAAGGGAGCACCTTCGGAGACATGTAGAACCACACTGAATGCTCGGCACAGGCCTCCCGTAGTGCCCTTGTCCTACTTAGGGCTTTGCCACCAAGCTTACCCTGAGGTACACCGCAAGAAGTCAAGCAAATGACTGTATTATCACTGTAGGGGATTGGGGAGAACAAGAGCCCAATTGACAGTGCAGTGTCCTTTTATAGAGTGCACTTACAGGGAAAGGTAATGCAGTGTAAGGAAACACTCTTCCCGTGACAATCTACATCTTACAGACACACAAATTTTATCCTTGGTGGTTTCCCCTTTAGCTATATGAACTGTCTGCTGTAAAAAATAAAATAAATAAACTTTAAAATGTTTTCCTTTTTGCTCTGGCTGCTAGGAGACTCAGAAAACCTTCCCAACTTGCCTCGAGAAGATTTTATTTATAGTTTGCACATTGTGAACTAACCCTTATCCTGGCTGTGCCTAATTTTCCTACTCATGTGTTCCTTTTGCCCCATTTCCTAATGTTTAAAAAACTTGCTGGCACAGTGGCTCATGGCTATAATTCCAGCACTTCCCATGGTGGGCAGACTGCTTGAGTCCAGGAGTTCAAAACCAGCCTGGGCAATACGGTGAAACCCTGTTTCTACAACAAATACAAAAATTAGCTGGTGTGGTGGCATGAACATGTAGTCCCAGCTACTTCGGAGACTACTCCTGAGAAGTAGGAGTAGTCTACTATTACTTCCAGTTAGTAGTAGAAGGAGAATTGCTTGAGTCTGGGAAGCA